AAAACTTACTATTGTAGCTAGCAAAGGAAAAATATTTAAAGGGCCCATATTCATTTTCACACAGCAGACCAAAAAAAAAGCTGAGAATGAATAGATTAAAAACTGGCATACTGATACTCATTGTTGACATCTTACTAAGTCCTCTAAAGCGTCCATGGCCATATGCCTTGAGTCCAGAGGACTAAAGAAAATAGCGTAGGCAATTGTTTTACATCTACATACAAATCTTAAGTTCTCACCCCACAATGCAGGAATCTTTACTGCTCCAAGCCTCCAACCTAGCTACAGATCAGCTATTCTCTAATTTCTCTTATGATCTAAAGTAATGATCTCACTTCTGGTACTGCTTTTTTTTTTTTTAAAAACTTATAGCACTTATAAATCAGAACTCTACTCTTGCTAGAGTATAGAGTTATTGCATGGAACCCACATTAGTTAAATTGCTTTTGGTGGCAAGTGATAGAAATACAAGTTAATAGGTTAAGCAATAAATAGAAATTTTCAACTCATATCATTCCAGTGGTAAAGCTAAGATAATGAATATTTGAAACCAGAGGCTCAAAAGATATCATCAGGATTTAGTTTCTCACTTTTTCTTGCCTCTGCTTTGCTTGTGTTGACTTAATCCTCTGGCAAACTCTTCCCTCTTGGTGGTTCCCAAATGCTAAACTATTTGTGCACCGGATATTCAGTGTGAAAAACAACAATAGCCTTAGTAACAAGAACTGCCTTCTCTTTCTAAGAGTTACTTCAAAAACCCTTTAGTAAACATTAACCCGGATAGGGGCTTAAATAAAAAAATAACAAAAACGAATTTCCACCCCTTGCTTTAGAGAAAAAAAAAGAAGCAAACAAAACTGTGTGCTTTAAACGTCATCTGAAGTCTTGAGAGAAACAAGTGGGCAGAAAAAATAGCAACAGGGAGGAGAGTTGTTCAGTCTCTATATTTAAATACTTTATTTTTGAAACCTAAAGAGTTTGCCAGTGAAATACTTCTTTCCTAAATTTCACCGACAATTATAATTTCCCAAAGTAGGTGGCAGAGAAATATATATACACCATGGCATTTGGTTTACCCACATACCAATTCTGTTTGTTTATTGTAGTAAAAAAACATATAATGTAAAGCTCACCATTTTAACCATGTTTAAGAGTACAGCAGTGTTAACTATGAACCTTCTTATGCAGCATGTCTCAAACTTTGTCATCTTGCAGAACTGAAACTGTGTATATTGAACAACTCCCTTTCCCCTCTCCCTCTGGCCCCTGACAACCACCATTCTATTTTCTGTTTCTAAGAGTTTGACTAATATATATATATATATATATATATATATATATATATATATATATATTTCTTTCTTTAATTAGAAAATTGTCTTAGTTAATTTTAAAATCAGCATGCCTCAAGGCTAAAATTTCTGTAGAACACACCCTTGAAATACTGTCAAAAGATAGTATGTATTTGCATGTAAGACTTTTTCTCTTTGCATACATTATTACAAATGTGTCAAAGGGAAAAAGTGAAATACAGTTAGAGGTGTATCAAAATATAGTGGATATAAGAACTAAGCATTTTCTTCATTTTATCTGATTACCTGGGTTAGCTAATTTTATTTGGTGGCTTAGGTTAACTCTGTACCAATTACTACACTATATAACCTGGGGAAAATTAAACTCAGCAACTATAATATATAATGTAGTTGTCCTTCAGAATGTCCATACCTCTAATATTACTGAATGAAGACAAACTATTACTGCTACTTCTATAAGACTTATGCCACTGGACTAAACCTCTGTTTTGTATCTCTGTCTAGGGGAGAGGTTGTCGAGTAGTTTGGTTCGCTTGATAGGTGTATCTCTAAAGAGAAGAGACTCATCTAGCTTGAACTTTATTAAGAACATCATGGTTATACTTCTCAAACTATAATTTGTTCACTAATCTATACATCAGCTCTGCATTGAGTGCCTATAGGTGCATAGCACTGTGCTAAGTTCTGGGGAAACACTAATTAGTCAATTCAGACATAGTGCTGCTCTCTTTATTATAATTTTGCTTCCCCATATAGACTGCAAGTGAGAAAAGAATAGGCAGAGGCGCTAACATGAGTATTCTGATCCATTTGGTAACCATTCATTTTTTTATTCAACAAACATGTAGCTATGGACTGAATGTTTGTGTGCCTCCAAACTTTGTATGTTGAAACACTAATCCCCAATACGATGGTATTTGGAGATAGGGCCTGTGTTACTGGTGCAACCATTTCTCCAGCCTGTGGTGGTGAGGGGTGACTTGGGAAGCACATGGTGATATACAAATGCTATGAGATCAAAGTGATCTGTAATTCTGAGGCTGGAGAATAAGATGCCGGGAGAACAGCGAGGATCCACGGTAGACCTTAGTTGAGTGCTGGGGTTTGGGGCTTGTTTACAATTGCAGCATGATCGGATCTATCTTGACCAGTCTTTCTGTGTGGTTCACCTTCACTGGACCCCTCATATGGTTGCTTTGAGGCAATGATTAGCCTAATCAAGACCCTTGCATGGCCTTCTCTGAAACCTGCAGGATTACTGATTTTCCAGTAATAAGATAAAAATAAATATTCCTTACTAAACATGTCCTTACTCTCAGACATAGGTGTCCTTCTGTAATATTGTCTCATTTACATGAAGAGCCTAGATGACAAAGGTAAGTCTTCCCAACGCATCCTGGGTTCCCTCTTTCAGCATGTCACTCAGCTCACAGGCATCAGAAGTCACGTCAAAAACACCTGTGTTCTGGCCTGTACCCCCTTAAGAAAAATCTAAAAAGCTTTCATATGTTTGAGTATATTCTGAACTGGGGTACATATGACAGCCACAGTCACCCAAAACTTAGTATCTATTTAGCAGAGTAGGTATACAGAGTTCATCTGCTTTTTACCTTCTAAATTTCAGTGAAGCCCCTTGGAAGCAGAACCCATAACAACTCCATGGTGCTGAGCATTACCCTGGCCTAACTCTGGGTTTCTAAACCTCAACCTTATTGACACTCGGGGCTAGGTAACTCTTTGTTGTGAGGGGGCTGCCCTGTACATTGTAGACCATTGAGCAGCATCCTTGGCGTCTACACACATCCCTAGCCAATAGCACACCCGTTATGACAACTAAAAATGTCTCTAGACATTGCCAAATGTCCCCTGAGAGCTAAAATTGCTCTCATTGGAGAACTGCTGGCCTAAATGAAGGTACATTTTTGCGACAGACATTGTTGAATGATGACAATTTTAAAAGCATGTTAGGTTTGTGTAAAAAATTATCAAGATCAATATTTAAGAACAGACACAATAGATATTTTAATGAAAGCAATGGTCCTGCCATTCTTTATTTCTTACAGTACATATTTACAGAAAAAAAAAGAACCGTACATTTTAAATTCTGATTATACAATTTTTTTCGCAGTTGAATAATAAAGGAATGGATCTCTTAATGACTATTTAAAATAACTTTAATACTTAAAGTTACAAATTATATGATTAGCCTTCTATAACTGGAGTAGGCACCCAGTAAAAGTAATGAAGCAACATCATTGGAGCCAGGGTGCCTTAGGAGATCTGACCTGGAACTATCTTTACCATACATTCACAATCCAACTTTCAACCGATGTTTTAGAAACTTCGGTGAAAATATACATGAGAAGAAAATCTCCATAGGTGTTTGTAGGGTTAGAAGAATTTAGACTTTGAAGAATAACCTGTGAATCAGATTTCCCTTACAAGGCCTTGAAAAAGTTGGATCTGGAGATGCTATAAAGAAAAGTGAAACTTTTTTTGTTAGTAGTCAACAGCTTCAAAACTTGGTTTTCATTGTTTTTGAAACAATGAATTATAAGTTCCTTTTAAATAAATGGTCGAAGGCACAGTAAAACAATGAATATTTACACTTGACCATCTTAGAACTCAAAATAATTCAAAAGGCAAAATAATTCAGGCGGCCAGCACCTAATTTGTCCTGTAGGTGGCAAAATTATCACAAGAGGAATCCAGGAACAGGATGCAGAATTGCTGCACGAAGGTTAATAGTGGTAGGTGACTTAAAGCTTTACTGAAAATACAGTTTTTAGAGTTTTGAATTTTTTCCCAAGGGTTACAGATTTAACGATGCCTTTTGTATTGCTCTGAATTAACGAAGATTTATTTTCTGGATAATCAGTACTAATGCTCAGAAATATATTCTTTTCCTTTTCAGGGACTAAATTTTCAGTCTGATGATTACCTCTGGAAAGTTACTCTCCTTTTGCACTTGTCCAACAGGTTTTGCTCTATTGGATGATCCATCCAAATTTGAGGAAGAGAGGTTGTGAAACTAAAAATCTGTTGTTACTTGTTCGCAGCTGTGAAATCAAGCTTGAAATCAAGATCTAAAAGGGAGGAAATTAAGCCCGCTAAACTTCATCAGCTTTATGTTTTTCTAATTACCTTGTAGTGGATGGCAGAATAGTAAGCAAGACTTTTAAGAAGTCATGGATAGTTTATTATAGAAAATTTGGGACACCATGATTATGACTACATTCATATGTAAGGAACAAAGAAGTTTATAAATGATTACAATGAAAGAACTAACTGCAGCCAAATAACATCTTCACTAGTCTTCATAGCTTCTTTGTTTGCTTTCAAGATGAAAACATTACTCTATGTCCTGGATTCATCATTAAAGAGCCAGGCAGAAAAATATAGCTACCAAATAAGAGCTGGCGGCAAGCACTGAATATAGTTACTTGAAGAATGAAGACTAAATGGGGGATAAAGGCAAAGAGTCGAGTATGCTATGTTATACCGTACCAACATGTTCTGAAAACGCTGATATAGTACGACTTTAAAAAATAGAGGGAGAATGGGGAGAGCAAATGAAAAAAGTGTTTGTATGATAAAAACTTATCATACTAGTGGTATCAGTACTGTTATTCTGAAACTGTTGCATGTGTAAGGTAGACAAAGGAAATTAATAATTGCGGGATATTCTAATTCTATCATGCCCTGTGTCTTTGAAAAACAGGATTCTTAGTATAGAAAAATGGACATAACTGCTGAAATAGAAAGGATTAGGTAGAAACCCTGTAATACTCAATTTGATTTAAAAGTATCAAAATAAACTCATAAAGTGTTTTATCTTAAAAAAAAAACCACAAAGATAACCCAGCTCTCTCCTAGAAAAAAAGACAAATCTAGTAGAAATGAACATACCACCATGATTATGGTTTTGAAATTCTATTTCTCACTGAAAGTAACGAGGCTTCTTAGCAAAAAGGCTGATTCCAAGTTTGGGGCAGGAAACAAACACATTGAGCCTGGAATATTTTGTCATATGAGACAGCAAGGGAGCTATTAAAGATTGCTAGAGTAGTGTCAAAAGGACTCAGAAATAACTTGACGAGGTATCCAATGGACAAAGATGGGGCAATTTGAGTTTTGATATTTAAAATGGATTAATGCCTATCAAATATGTTTGAATCCATGAGTTCACGATACTTAAAAGTGATCACTGGAAACAAGTTTATTATCTTGAAAATTGGTAAATAAAGGGAAAAATTCAAATATTTGTTTTCCCTTTCCCATATGAACATTACCACTGGTTAACCAAATCACAGATGTGGGGAAACATGTCTTTATGAAAACATCCCAAGTAATAAATGAAAAAGAAATGACAGAATTAGAATATTCTCCAACCCACAATAAATCAGAGGATCTAAGCAACGAGTATCAATTTCAGCTGACCTCACAAAAAGAGAGAACCAGATATTATGTGCCCTCTGATGAAAGAACACACCATGACCTATAGTCTTGCCAAAAGGGCTGTACCTGAGTCTGCTCAAACCTCTCAGGATCCAGGATCCATGTATGCATATCGAGAGGACAGAGGAACATACTGAATTGCACCATGAGTTTGCAATCAGTAAAATACAGATTGTGGGAAACTCTGTAAGTCATAAGACCAGGTTCTTCAACAGGTAAATTTTAAGGAAAAGAAAGAATGGGAAGATGTAGATTAAAAAAGGATGTAAAAGGTGTACCTAATAAAAACAATTTTAATGGGGTAAGATTAAAATTAGGGTGTAGAGATACCCACTTGGGTAATAACATAACGAAGACATGGAAGGAAGTGATTACTATTGAAATCAATGTAGTGGTTACTTTGTGGGGTTAGGGAAGAGGGTTGTGAACTGAGAGGATATACAGAGGACATCCAGGGTTGCTGGCAGAATTCTAAAAGAACGTTTCCCTATAATGCAATGAGCTATACATTTGCTGTTTGGTTTTCAGCATTTATGTTTTATTTTATAATTTTTCTAAAGGAAAAAATAAAAATAACACCAAAGCCCTTACAGTTTTCCCCTAAAAATTATGGACGTGAATACTTCTAATGTAAATATCAACTGATGTTTCTTAAGAAATTGCCTATGTTATAGAAATATTTCTAAATAAGCTACAAATATTTGAAAAATATAATATTAAAATTTCATGTGTACAGTTATAAAAAGTAAAAGAAGTATAATTCCCAACAAAATTTATTTTGTTACAGTATTATGTTATATAATTTGGTTAAATGGACTTTGTTTACTTCCAAAATTTTTCTTTCCTACTCCCATACAAGGTTATTCATGTTATTCTATTAGAGAGTAGAACATGAACATTGAAACAGATTTAATATTTCCTTGAATGTCCACAATTGTTTCACTTCCCATCTTTTTACATAGAACAAAGATTAGTCATTTTGCCCAACCATGATGGTAGTTATGAATATGTAGCATTACACAGTTTCATCCAATTTGCAAATAAAGATCCTTCACCCATATACCCAGCCTTATGTCCTCTTTCATGTATCAATGGCTGATGGAGACTATTTTTTAAGTGTCTAAGAAACTCAAGAACATAAAACAGATTTAAACCATCAAAATGAAAGCAATTTTAAAATGCAGTACAACAACAGACACATGGACAAACATATAACTGTATTGTACATTTTTGCCCATCAAACATTGACAATTTTCCTCCAACTGTTCAAGCAGCATATTAACAAATGGTGCAATTGTACGGTCTAGGCTTCCCTTTTCCTTTTAATAATAACATTATGTGGTGTTTGAGTGATTCACATATTCCAGAAGTGAGCGGTCTAAGACCCTTCGGATAAGAGCTTCCTCAATTATATTAAAATCCTACAATAAAGAAAAAATAATTAGAAACATACAATCAAAGACAGTTTTCAGAAACTGAAGGACGATCATTGAAATGCCTCATTTTACAGGAAACTAAAGCCCTAAATTTAGTGACCTGTGCAAATTTCCACACAAAAAAGTCAGAGAACCTAGGACTTTTGCTTTAGAGCCAGTGCATTTTCTATTTCATTTTACTGCCTGTCAATTAACTAGTTATTAGCATAGTAAAATAGTCTTGATTTGGAATTTAAAATTTTTATCTGATCTAACTATTGGGCTGTTGAAAAAGTCATGATGTATTTTTTTCTGTTTTTCGTTACAAAAATGCGTCATGACTTTACCGACAACCCAATAGTACTGGTCGAAGAGCTATGTTCCACATAAACATGTAATATAGAGTAAAGTTAAGACATTCCCATAGGTTTCACCAGTCCCAGCCAATACTGAATATGTACTTCTAAAAAAACCATTGAAAACAAAACTCTTTCTCTTTGCCTTTGTATGGTCAAAACGGCATTCAAAACTTTACGTCAGCACGTTCCGTACACAAAATGAAAACTACTGAAAGTCCTATTTTCTGTATCCCATCTCCACTTCCTCAATAAACAAAAACAACAATGTAAAAGTAAAAGCTCTGTTGGAAGTCCATTCTAAAACATAAAAGCATAAGGCAAAAAAATAAAATCCAAAAGAGAACCATAAGGAATAGAGGAGCACAAGATTTGGGGCTCATTAGGGGCTGGTTTCTTATGTAATTTGTAACCTCTGAGCTTCAGATATTCACACTAGTATAGTACACCCTTCACAGAAGTCACCGCAAGGAATAAAATGAGATAATATGCACAAAGTGCCTAGCATAGTACTCAGTAGCTTAGGAAACAATAAAATCAAAACAAAGAACATTGCTTCAACCTCACTTCCACATCCAAGAATATGGTTTTCAGTGGGAGGAAAGTATTCTCATCAAAATGGCTTCATCCCGATCAGTCCTGGATTCATACTTGTCTGAACCATCTTGAGAACATGGACTAGACATGAATAGTCAGAACAAGTATGGAACCAACCTGGCTTTTAGACCGTCATATGGAGCCAAAATAAAGAAGAAGTCCTGTGTGCTGTGAGAAAGGAGAACACATGGACCAGAACCAGGCTCTGTTGAGGCCTTGTGTACTTTAGAGGGCCAGAAAAGATACTTGAGAGATAGAGCAGAGACTATGAAACCTCTGAGGTGTAGCCTGTTCAATTCTTCAAGTGGTCCTTATATTCCCATTTATTCTCTCCCCATCTCCAGCTTTGGTTCCTAACATCCGGAACCAAACTCTACAAATGATTTTACATGCATTATCTCATTTAATCCTCTCAAAAGCTTTTGGGAGTAGGTACTTTTACTCTCTTCACTGAACAAATGAACAGAAGCTCAGAGGTTAAGTATCTTGCCCAAAGTCACACAGTTGTGACAGAGCTGTTATTTAAATCCAGTTCAGGACCCCAGCTCTTTGTGCTGAATCTGCATAATTATAGCGGGCAGATCAGAAAGCAAGGAGAAATTTTTCAAGTAACAATCTTTAATAATTATTAAAGACTATCTTGAAATAGCATTAAAAAAAAACAAAGTCATGTGAAATTATATGCAAATTGAAATTTTGCCCTTAACATTTCATGTATTTAGATAAAAGTGACAATAAAATATTCTACTTCAGAACATGGCTCTGAGGGGCTTCCCCGCCATAATAGGCTGAAAGGGACTCAGAGGGCAACACATTACCCTCACATGACAATACACAGACCAAAGTACAATAAAGGCTACATTAACTTTTGCTTGTTATCCATATGTTGGTAGCTATTCATGGGTGGGTGACAGGTATATGGGGATTCATTATACTGTTGTCTACTTTGTATGTGTGGAAAATTTTTTCATAATCATTTTTTTAAGTATAAAAAGTTCAATAGGAGTTTTGTGTTTTATAGAATTTAAATAAAAAATAATCCCTGTGTACCTTACTACACTGATCATGACTAGTTGTGCTTAATGTATCAACAGCTGTTAGTAGCCATTCAAGGTACTATAAAAGCAACTGGACGCAGAGCAAAATCTCTGACTCCTTTTATTACTGATGTGATTTCACTTCAGCTACATAAATTTTAAAGTTTGTAGAAATTATGAGTATACATAAGGAGGAAGTAGAAACTAAAATAATCTGAAAGTCAAATCAAATCTGGCTCCATATACAATGGATAATTATATAGGTCACAAAGAAAATAATTCTGTCTAAGGCAGATAACTAATATTAACAGTCAAATTTATAAAACACTATTTTTATGATTTCTTAATGCTAATGCTTAACACTTCAGCTATATACATATTTTTTCCTCTATAATTTTTTTCACTTGGATTAAAAAGGTAAGCTTAACACAGACAGCATAAAGACAATGTAAAAGTAAAAATATATACTTACTATGAAATCATCATAAAATAGAGTGTGATTAACTTGCAAATGTCTTATTAAACTGCCATTGAAACTGTTCGGGTTCTCATTAGGTATTAAACGGCAAAGTGGACAGAACTAGAAATAAACAAGACCAAGAGTTCAAGAAAGAATTCAAAATAATTATCAGTGTCAGAATTAAAAAATTAAATAACAAATGCAACTAAGTGAATTTTAACTTTGTGAATCTACTGGCCATATTTCAGTATTATGTTTTAAAATTGCACACATATTAAAGCAACATTAAACAAAACTGCATTCGCTCTTCATACACGTTTCTTGTATATAACAGTATAGCTATTTGTTTCCTCTTCATCAATTGATTATTTAAATATTACAGTTAGTAGATATACCGTTATTTACTCAGTTGCCTACCTCTTGAAATATTTCAGTTTTTTTGTATGTGAATATATTTTATTACAAATGACATTATTTTAGGATAAATAACCAGAAATGGAGATTACTAAGTCAAAGGTTATGAATATTTACAGTTCATAATAATATCTATTGCTCTGAAGTTTTGTATTGCCACCAGCAGTATAGATTATAGCACACCAGCATCAGTTATTAATATTTACATCAGATATTAATATTAATATCTTCCTAATTTAATAGCCTTTGATGTGTCTTTAAAAAAAACTTTCATTCTGAAATATTTATAAACACGAGAAATTGGGGAAATGATGCAGAGAGATCCCATGTCCCGTCACCCAGCTTTTATGTGACACCTTACATAACTGTAGGACATTATCAAAACCTTTATGTGACACCTTACATAACTGTAGGACGTTATCAAAACCAGGAAATGGGCAATTAGCTGGGCTTCAGATCTTACTCAGGTTTTACTAATTTTGCAGGAATTCATCTGTGTGTGTGTCTGCATGTAGTTCTATAAAATTTTATCACATGTATAGATTCATATAACCACGAACAGAATCAAGAGACATAACTGTTCTTTCATCACACAGGAACTATCTTACACTACCCCTCTGTTCCTCTTTCTCCCTAACCCTGGCATCCACTGATCTGTTCTCCACCTCTATAATTTCACCATTTAGAGATGTGATATAAGTGGAACAACACAGTGTTTAATCTTGGGAGAGTGACATTTTTCACTGAGCTTAATAACCTTGAGATTCATCTAAGTTGTTGCATACATCAATAGTTCCTTCTTTTTTACTTCCATGGGGTGCGGATGTACCACAGTTTATCTATTTACTTTCTGAAGCACATGGGTTGTTTCCAGTTTTTGGCTGCTATAAATAAAGCCGCAATGAACATCTGTGTACAGATATTTACATACACATGTTTTCATTTCTCTAGAATAAATTTCCAGGGGTGTGATTGCTGGTCATATGGTGAGTTTTATGGTTAACTTCGTAAAAAAACTGCCAAACTATTTTCCAGAGTGGCTATGCAATTTTATATTCCCACCACGATGCGTGAATTATCCAGTTTTTCCTCATTCTTGTCCGCATTTGGTACTGTCAGTATTTTTTTATTTTAGTTTTTTTTTAAATGTGTTATTTTGATAGATGTGTAGTGGTATTTCATCATGGCTTTATTTGCACTTCCCTAATGGATAATATAAATGATTCTTGTACCATATACTACTTTATTACATTTTAAACTACGTTTTTTAATTCAATTTTTTCATGTATTCATTTTTAAAAATATGAGATGCAGAATCACTACTGAGTGCTAAGTATGTGGTAGGTATTAAATTAGGTAGTCTTCTCATTTGATCCTCACAACAACCCAGTGAATTACTATCCTTATTTTGTTGATGAACCCAATTTCAGGGTGGAAAAAA